TTGATTTAATGTATTTTTTATGAATAATTGAACAAAAATATTGCTAGGTATTCTGTACTTCTTCTCTATATAAACTATAAATGTGAGAAATGTTATAGCAATTACATTATGTTATCATTAATTTAAGATCTGTTTCGAAGTACCCTGAAATTATGAATAAACCAAAAATTAGAATTGCTGTACTTTATCAATGTTAAAGTACAGCAATTGATAAATAATAAAGACTATATAGTTATAAGTAAATTTATTACTATGTCATGTTTCTATTATCGATTCTTTCCAACATATATAAATAAGTGGTACCACTTCCATACTCATATATTGATCAGATATGATAGAAGAATGGCTTCAGTTAATTATTAAACAGTATTCCGTCTTGAATTATAGTGGCTCCGTGATTGATGTCACAATTTATTTAAACAGTATTTAATAATTATAATTGGATTATAGGAAATCATAGTTAGGACCTTGTATATTATGTTTTCAATATAACAACTTTCTACAAAGAACAGCATCATAATTCTGAACACAATGTATTATATATGAAGGATCAAACCATGCGGTCCCTTGTGTAAACTTTTTCAGGGTCATGAATTGGTACTATCGCCGGATATCGGTTAGTTATACTCGTATACAGACTGAAAGAAATCGAGTCGACCCTTGAGATACATGAAATATTAAAGTTACCTAATTCTATTTAAAAGAAACATTATTTTATATCATATTTTCGATTAGAAGTAGAAATAGAAATAACCTTTATTCAAATAAACTTAAAATAAGCACTCTTGATTAGTATTATTTGTTTCATTCCACCACTCATTCGGAACACAGAGTCATCATAAGATAAATGATCAAGATACATGTGTGTTATTGCACTTGTAACTTAAAATAATACATGAATTTAAAAAAGAATCTATATAAGGATGGGAACGACTTCTCTTATAGCTAATCCGACAGTGACATTGTTGGTAGTTGCCAAGGTAAAGTCGATAAATAGGATCTAGTCAAGAAATTTACATAAAGTTATACATATAACAGTATTAAATCTGAATAGTTACGAGTATAAATATTAAGGATTTTTGATTGTTAATGTGGACTTTTCGCTCTAATCTTAATCAATTAAAAATTGACCTTCATAATTATACCATCATACGTAAAAATGTCGTATAGGATAAAATACTTTTGACTTTGACTTTATCAAAGTCAAAATTATTTATTCTTTATAAGAAATATTAAAACTTTTTATCACTACCTCTATTGTCCACTCCATTAGCTATATAGGTGATGTACTGGGAAGAACCTGAACTGGTAAATTTTCTTCTCGTATTCTATAAGTCTTATGACACATATGTACATATAGATATACAATCTATATATCTGATGACTGTACTGTACCAACCGCAAATTGATGCTGATTTTAAGATATTTAAATAAATATCTACATTCAGATTTATTGCTGTCAGTCACTTCGTTTGGGGTAAACTCAGTTTATTTATTCCCTCCCACTCGTTCTATTATTCTTTCTGATTAAAGTCGTTGAGATTTATAAGACAGTCTCTTACCCTCCCCCGGGGTTCGATGAGCTTCATCGCTCACCATGCGACGTGGTATGGAGCGGTTCTGAATATATTTGGGCTCATATTTTCATGAGTTTTACCTTCACGACGGTTATGTCAGATGGGTTAGTCTGTAGCGCGGTGTATCACCTATGAGATACACTCATTACGGATACTAATAATAATATCCTATTATAGTCCTAAGCTAAGTTACTTAGTACGAATGAACGTTAGGGGTACAGAGATCTGATATGAATATATAGATTTTTTTTTGTAAATGCATACATAATATATATAGAAAATACTCAGGCAGATACAAATAATCATACTCATAAATAAAAATGTTTGTACAGTGCAATGAATGGTACCCGCGACCATCGACGTAGGCGAAACCGCTAGACCACCGAGGCCGTAAATAAAAGAAAAAAAAAGTCTTTTCGGTATCTATGGCTTACACTGAATATATATGTGATATGATTCTTTTACATTTTCTTATTACATCCTGTACGAATATTGGATCAAAGTCATGCATAAAAAGTAAGACATTATTCAAGAAAAGTATTGGTTATATACTTAGTCATAATTTGAGGGTCGCTCCAGAATATGTAAATGGAAAATATATGATAACGGTCTTAAATGTACGATCTATACATATAATAAAATTATTACTGATTGCTGTACGTGGATGCTATATCAAATATACAATTATTCTTTATTAGCTTAAGCCAAATCAATAATTGCTACAATTTTTGCACGAATGTGCGTGCTGATCTCTGAAACAGCCTAAACGATTTAGGAGAGGTTTTCACTAATGTCTTGTGGTAAGCTTCACTTAACATTTTGTGATTATTTTCTTTCAATCTGTTGACAAATATAAACATATATATATATGTATACTATTGCAATTCTACTGATACGATCTTGCAAGCTTACCCAGTAACATGTTATAATATGTACTAGCTGTCCCGACAAACTTTGTTGTGTCCTATAAATAAATAACGCTATTAAAAATTGGGGTTGATGGTAGTAGGGTGATAATTTAGGATTGTATGTATTTTTAATTCACTATAAATGAAAAAAATATACATTTTTTGGGCTGGACCACCGTTATCGCTTAGGGATATAAAAAATATATAATAACCTATTCTCAGACCTATTTACTTTTTTACACCGACCTAGTATACATATAAAATTTCGTGATAATTGGTCAGTAGTTTATAATAAGATAATAATAAAGAATAGCTGTCGATATATAACACATAAAGTGCCTCTGAATAGCACTATTACGTTGACCCTTAAATCAATCAATGTTGCTTAACCTCATTGATCGACATCCTAAATTGTGTCCCTGAGCTGTCAGCTTATAGAACACTAGAAACTAACCGCAGACAAGTGCTTATTACATTACACACTACGTCTCGAAGACTCGATTCCAGAATCGATTTCCTTTACATGGATGTTCTGCAACCACCCTCCAAAATAGTGTTGTCCATAATACGACTAGTTCATCACTGAGCGGTTAATTTAGTTCGGAGCTCTTCTTCGAACTAGTTCGATCGCTTGAAACCTTTGCATTTACAAGACTTTTTGTTGTACAGATTTATTATATAGAATAAGGGGTAAACAAGTTTGGGGTACGTAATTACCGTTGCTCATAATTACCTGCAATATCACGGGAAGTGTAGGTATATTTATAAGCTCTTTTCTTGAAAGGTTTAAGATCGCATCAAGGTAAGACAAAAAGTTTCTACAAAATGCATAGTAACCACATTTTGCCCAGAACTGTATATTATTACGTTTTTTTTTTACTTCATTTATTTTTACTTCGTTCTTGTTTCTTTTTATTGATATATGTAATAACGTAGCACAATTTATAAATGATTCCTCAATCTCGTTGTGTCTGACAAAAAGTTGCTGGAAAAAAGCATGGTGGAGGACCGCCATTCATCCAGATGATAGATATACTTAATATATTTTTTGTAAATACATGTATAATATAAATAGAAAACATCCAGATCAATATAGTTTATTCTACAACTATTAGGTTATTACTTAGCCAGTAAATTTGAAATTTTTGTATTTTTAGCAAGACGATCTAATGAAAGAGCGAAAGATCTTCGAACTAGTTCTCTTAGTTCTACTTTTCAATCACTGTTCTGAACTAGTTCGTTTGCGAACTACACATTACATAAGACTACTCCAAAAGGTCAAAGTCGACCACTAATGAAATTCCGTGTCTGTACCTCATTCCAATTCGTTTAAGGTACAATTCTGTTTCTCCCGATCACAATGTAACCCCGCAGTAATTTACTACGGAACTTGTTTCTCTAATAGTTCATTGTTACTCTGTTCGATTTGTTATTTCAGTAATGCGATTAATCGTTAAATAACTACTTGAAGTGTGAGTGTATGATTAGAGCGTATTTACTCAAGCTTTGTTACTAAAACAAGTAAGCCGAGCGTTTAAATTCGAAAGCAAATCAATTACTTACTAGTATCATCAATAAACCGGCTTGGAGACAAAATGTCACTTAGATTTATGTACTAGATTTATTAATAGCTATCACGTGAATACCGTACTTTTATTACCTAGCGCTGTTATTTTATTTTATAGATCATTTAGAAACAAAGAAAAATGTAGGAAGTAGTCATTTTCCTAGGCTATATCTACTAGCAGGAAACTGTGTAATTGTAATTTCTATAGTGTTTTTATATTGTCCAATTTTTTATGAAGTTTCGGCTTTAATTAGGGTTGTCAACGTTAAGACACTCAGGCTCGTATAAAAAATCTGTGCTCTATTTGTCTATAACGTCGTACATAGCATTTTGACCGATTTTTTTATACCAACATTTCGCACAAATGTAGGAGTGTGAAAATGTCCTTGTAGCGAAGGCCAAAAATCTTAAATTTGTACGAGGATCCTTCTACGGTTGGCGTTAACCGCTGTACCGTCATCCATCAGTATAAATCTTATTATCAAAGATTTCTACATTTATACAAGCAACTTCTTACAATGGAGAAGCATTTTCTTATTTATTTAGTTTAAAAGAAACAATATACTACGTTTAAAATACCTATTTAATTGGAAAACGTAATCCTTTAATCTAACTTACGTTACAACATTTCATTATTCATTTTATCTTGAGATTTTAGCTAACTAACTTCAACTGGTTTGTTCTTGGTTGTATGGTATTTATTCAATATATTCTAATGTTGACAGCATTTACATCTTCACCTAACGAAAAGTGTGCGAGTGAAGACTCCATGCCCGCGAAAGGACTTATAGAGCGACTGATGTCCAACTCCTACTTGACAGGTAAAACTTTGGTCTGAGGACTCGAACTATGGCTCAGATCATCGTAATTTCGATCTCCTTTTGAGTTGCATTTCAGTCACGTAATAGGTATATTTAAGCGTAAGAGAAGAGAGAGAATATAACTTACCTGACACTCATATGTGCCGTTGTCTCTTTTCTGAACAAACTTGATTTGGAGTGTCCAATCTTCTGAACCTTCTCCATGTAAGACCTGAAAGATATTGTTAAATAGTTTATACAATAATTCAAAGAATAGGACAAGATAAAAGTAGAATTTGTTTTAATTATTAAAATTAAATTATAATTTTATTTCTATTTATTTAATTTGTTTTAAAGTATGTTCAAAACAAATGTAAGAAAATCTGACGCGGAACATCATGAAAACATTAGAAATTAAAAATTTGTTATGTAAGTTACATTTCATTTATTTATTTCCACATTTATCTTTTAATATTTTTCTTTAAAACCAATTGTTCAAAGTCTCGGTGGACTAGCGATTTAGCACAACGCATTACTTCTAAAACTTGCCGATTCGATTCCTCGCGCGAAGTAAACATTTGTAATCATGAATACAATTGTTTTTCTGGGTGTTTTTTATATATAAGTACTTCTATCAGTTCCCATGACAAGCTCTGCTCATCTCGGAGCTATATAGTCCTGTGTGAGTTGTCGAGGGTTATTATTAGTATTATCCTATACATGAACAAGTACATTATATTTTTATTGTGCATATTTTACTCATATACATATAAGTATAATAAATACATTGTTGACTACTATTTATCACCTTACTAACTAGATTTATGTAAAAAAAAATTCTTACCTGAAATCTTTCATCGTTGGTATACGTGAACTTGCCCGAACTCAATATGTGCCAGTCCCGTTTCCTTATCCATGAGACTTGCTGTAAATACAATTTTAGATAATTAATACTCTATGCTATAATAAAATTATTTCATAATTGTAAAATTTATTTATTTTTATAGTTTAGTGTTACTGTTTCGTTAATTTAAAAGGAATTGATTAAAATTCTAATTGTGACATTAGTTTTGTAGGAGGTTAGAGACTTTTTTAACCGTCGCCTATATATTATAAATGAACAGCATTACTGACATCACGTTATACTGTGACGTAATACCCATATTACCACAGGCATTCTATTTCCAGAAAACAAATATGTCTCTTGTTCTATAAATTCACTGCCTTATCTACCCTAAAACCGAAACACAGCTTACAAAGCAAGCTGCTTGGCGGCTGAAATCGGTTACACTGAGATAGGCAGTAAGGCAATTTTTTACAGTTTGTCTGAAAAAAAATAAAAAGTAACAGAAAAAATTTACTTATCTCTTTTTGCCATAGGGCAGTAGTGATAGTAGTGACCGGGAGAAAATGCCTCAAGGTGTTAAGCCCTTTTTTTTGGACTATTCTATTGCTGTTGGCCGCAACCTTTACAGCTTCACCAGACGATAAAAGATAGAAGCTGCTGAGGGCTAACTCCCGCCTCTTGTCCTCATACGACTTTAGACTTATGGCGTCGCTAGGGGCCCGAATCTCGGCTCAGGCCGTCGTAATTTTGATCCCTGTTTGAATTGGATCGATCGGCAGTGTTAAGCCCGTCATGGGTATCTTTGTGTATTGACGTTTTAATAAATAAATAAAATAGACTTACTCCTCTCTCACTCAGATGCCCAACAAGACAGTGCAGGTACGCCGTGCCACCTAATTGCGCTGTCACATTGCTAACGGAGTTGTTCGCTGTCACATCAGCAGAAGGTTGAACACCGCCGCGCCACACTCTGCCTCTGGAGGTCCCGTGATGCCCTAAGCATCATAAATAACTATTATGTTACGGATTTACATTAATTATAACATAGAAAAGTCATCTGCCACTCAGGTTTTATGAAATTAGCAATAATATATAATTTGGCAACTTGAAGGAACGTACCGCTTTTTTATGTAATCAATAACTTATACAATATATATGCATTATTTAGTGTTACATGATTAGTAAAGCCAATAACAGATACCTCACAAATTTATCGAAATGTGTGAACAGAGTAATATTATCAAGTAATTATAAATTTAATCTAAGCAGCAGTACAAAGTATAATGTGTGGATTTACAAAATACAAAGAAAACAAGTTGATTATTTCGAATAGATAAACACTTAAATAGTTCAGAACCACAGTTAGTGAGTAGAATATGACAAGTGTATAATAAGTAAATTACGTTACAATACATTATAGTCATCCATATAATATTTGAATACCACAATATGGATAATCAGGAAAGCTTGAAATGGAAAGAAAGATGAAAGACGACTGCATGCAACTGAATTACGAATATTGAGATGGGTGTGTCGTGTGACAATAGTGGATGAGATAAAGAATTATAACATTAGAGGAAGTATGAAAGTGGTGCCTGTGTCAGAAGAAGTTAAAGAGTAACCGACTGTTGTGGTTTGGACATGTAATGCGACGGAATAAAGTAAAAGGGCAGAGGAAGGCCGAAAAAGAGATGGATGGATTATGTGAAAGATGTAATGGCAAGAAAGGGACCTAAGCAACGAGATGAGTGCGAACAGGGATGAATATAAGAGAAAAAACATATTACGCCGCAACTAAATAAATGGGATAAGGAAGAAGGCGATGATGATGAATGATAGTAATCAGGCATGAACATATTCATCACGTTATTAGGTGTCGCAGGTACATCACGCAAGCGTTTTAATTCCATAGGACTTGTATTCTGTAATTTCATTGATTCAACTTCTTATAGACTCAATAGCTCTACGGACATCACACAATTAATATATGCTAAATGCATTGCTATTTCAGAGGACTAAGTTTTCAGACCTTACAATGCGGTACCATGTAATTTTACTAACATATTTCCCCTTCATAAGACTTTTATACCGGAACAAACTAGTTTACGGCAGAAATACGTAGTACAAAGTTATACACGCAAACAAAATCTATGTCAAAGTCGCTTTCGAATACTTTGATCACATTGATTTTCTATGAAAAGATGTTTAATAATTAATAATTAAATGTACTTACATAATTAATTTATACTTATTAATAGTAAGTTTGAAATGCTATTGTAAAACGAGTTCGGGGAAAATTTTAAACGATACGTCAAACCTTATTCGGCAAAGCAACAAGTTATAATTACAAGGGCAGATTTAATTTTAGATCTAATAAATATTTTACTGTTAGCAATTTTAAGAAATATCTTGACGTTATTAGATAGCAAAACCGTCGGGAAATTATGTCAGGAATTTTCTTAGTATACAATATTAAAAGTAAATATATTTAATATCGATTAAATATAATAAATTTTTGTATACATTTTAATTGCGACAAAGCTCGAGCGTCATGTAGTCGAGTTTTGAGAATTTTTTTTTCTTTTTCAAACACATTAGTTTCTAGAATACAGAATTAAAATAGTATGGTCATACTAATTAACATACTATAAAAGTAGGAGCGAAAGATATACTATAGTCTGTTATAAGCAACAGATTATAGAGATTTTGCTGGTTTGCTTTGAACATCTGTAAGTTCAATATTAGAGTGAGAATCCAAAGCCTGAAAACATTCGTGTCACTGTCATTCGTGTCACAAGTACTAGAACTCGCTAATGAGTGCTATTTAATTAAGATTACTCCACCTGCTTCCTGCTCCCTCTCATCAGCATCCTGCTCCCCGTATATATATATTTTTACAAGTTACATAATTGTTAAATTATATTAAAACAACTTACGTATGTCACCAGTAGATGATGTGAAGAGAGGGAGCATGATTAAAATGGTCGCTGCAAGCGGTAGACCCATCCCACCAGCCAGTCGCCATCTCATCTGAAAAAAAATCATAGTTGCAATAACGGCAAGTTATAGATGAGACAGCTTTTAGAATAAGCGGTAGATAAATATGATGACTGTTTAAAAGTGCTTCAATGTAAGTTTATTTGAATACATGATTTTCTATTCTATTCTATTGTGTGGCTTCTGTGGAGGAGGTTCTATTTTTTTAATTCACGATGGTGTACAGTTAGGACTGCGTAGAAGTCGACCTGATAGGGCACATTGCTAGAAAAGGGGCTACTAGTTCTTATTGCTAGCAATCCCTTGCCCTCTGGGACTACATTTTTTTTTATATTAAAATTTAAGCGCGTTTGACCGCAATCTCACCTGATGTTAAGTGATGATGTGGTCTAAGCTGTTACACGCAAGCTCAAATAAATCATAATTTAATGATGATGGAATGGATGATAATGGAATAGTACACCTGCCTGCGCTAACGGCTTACGCTGGTGGGACACCTGTGAAGGATGATAAGATGAGCATGACCTTAGGTCAGCTTCCCCATCGTGGTAAATTCACCAGGGAAGAGACTATATTCTGTGACATTATTAGTCTGCAGTGATATTCGTGTACAATTTTTTTGACGATGGTTATCGCTTACAATCAGGGGCCGTCAGCTTGTTTGAGATTTCAAATACATAAAAAAGTCATCGTTCTTATCGAAAGTGACATCTATTAATATTTTCTGCTCACTTAGGTTCAATATACATGTCACTAATAAGTAGAAAACATTGCAAATAAGAAGTTTGATGACTTTTTGATCACTTTTACTTCTATTTTGCTCTTTCTTTTCATGTTTACATTGCGTCTCCGTCTAGTCAACGGATACTTTAGTTTGTTTGAGTAACTTTTTCTATGAATATATCAACACTACTATTAACCTACTGAGAGTATCATGGCACAGTAAGATAGAGGGATACATAGATATTAATTTTATTTACATCAACATACACACATATAACGATTTCACAATGTGGTTAAATTTTAGAAAATTAAATATTTTAAAGACTGAATATCATTTTCGATTTATTTTTTTATATGATATGGTATACACAGTAATGGAAAAAGGCAGTAACTCACTGAACTGTTTTCTAGCGGTTAAATGTTGGTTTTCAACTACTACTACTAAAGGCGTTCGTAGCAAACAAAACAATCGTAATCGTTGGTACAAAACTGTAGACAATACAATGCAAATAAATAATTTTGCATTTAAATTAAAGATTAAAATAAATAAAAAGAAATGCGGATTGTTAGTAAAATTATACAAACATGGTTCTACAGGATCCATATCCATCCATAGTAGAATTATACACTCTATCCTGAGGAGATAAAAACTATCGCTCCTAAGAATATCCTTCTAGAATTCTTGTTCCTCACGGGTCTAGGTAGTAAATTTTGAATAAGGGCGAACATAACAGGTCTTAGCATATGACAATAGCCCAAACCCCCCAATAATAAAAATATGTGACAATTTATATTCCTATTTAAATATTTTTTGATGACATTCTTAGCAACAAACTATAAAATAATCCGAGACACGGCGGCGGTAATCTCGCCGCCAGAATGGTTAGATTCAAATAAATCTAACCAAATACGAACACGACACCTCAACGTCGACAGTGGATAATAAAATCTAAGGCCTAGTATGCATGATGGAACAGTCCCTGATCTTTGTCTCAACCTTAGATAATATACATAATATTACATATATACATAGTCTCAACTGATGCTGTAGGCGAAAACTTGCAAAGCAATAGTTTAAAAGACAGTAAAATTATACAATGAGATGAAATCTTATTATGTGTCCGTGGTACTGTTAATTTTTGGAAGTGGTGTATATAGTGAATATCTCTTGCTGTCATCTGGACCGTCAGCACAGATAATTGTAATGCTATATTGCTAAATTAGTGGGATGTCCCGTGTTCGCCCGGTTATTGGTTTTATGTCAGTTTGAACCTTTAATGTTATAAAAAGAATTTCCAAAAATCGGTGTACTAAATTCGGAGTTTGATTTTAACATAACAATATTCTCTCTCTCTTTATAATCATATAAGTATTAATAAAACGGTAATAAATACATAAAAGAGGTATAGATCTCTTTATATAGGTAATATTAGTATTAAGACATTAATAATTATATAAAAGAGATATATAATTAGTGTAATTTCTTTTATATCCTATAGTATAAGTTCATCTAGAGCCGAGCATCATTCATCATCCGAGTATTAATCAGCACGTGAGCGATTGATCTTCTGAGAGAATTGGAAATGAATTGAATATAAAAGATTTTTTGTTCGCTTCCTTGACACTGTTATATCTCGTTGTCCAATTCTTTGATATTTTCAATAGATATTTTTTTTATCGCAGACGATAGGAATGTACCTAGATGTCTACAATAAACATTCGTCCATTACCTCACTTGAGAAGAAAAAAATATTTTTCCTGCCGATTCTTTTTGGTTCATTGTTAGTTGTTTACTTTAAAAGCGTTTTGTCTATGGAGTGGGATGAGAGGAGGAAATTGTCTTTGGAATTTGTTTATATGGCCGTTATATATTTATTTATCTTCTTTGTGTAACGATATTTAAGTCAAAATGAATGCCCGCTTTTATCTAGAAAAAAAGAATAGGTTTCTGTGATGTGGTAGTACAATTTTTATTAGAAATAACAAATATCATTTTACGAGATGGTTTTCAATACATGAATAAGTATATATATTATGTAATGTTACAATTGTTGCCAATAACAAATAAGGCAACAAATGCTTTGAATCCAGACACCCGACGGTAGCTTTTTTTTAATACATAATAATGGAATGGTTGCAATTACCTGCGCTAACGGTATACGCTGACAGGGCATCGGTGGAGGATGACAAAATGAATATGAGGTCAGGTCAGTTAGCCCTTTGTGACAAATTCACCAGGAATTCATTACTACAGTTTCCAGGGAGAACCGCGTGGAGGTAAGGCTGACAAAGTACATTGCTACCAGTGGGGACATCAATCCACATTAGCACCAATTTTATTTCCGGGGTTTATTAATGGGTGATAATGGTGATGCACCAGAGGAGGGTGATAAAATAGTTGGCCCAGGAGAAAAGCCAGCGCAATGGGGTTCGCTCTGGAGCCCCAATCTACAACGATTTAGGAGGGTGTAGAAGTATTAGAAGTATCTATATTTCTATTTATATTTTTGCAAAATTATAATGCACCATTAAAATTCATTTAAAATGTAAACAAAACTTATAAAAGTATTGTAAATTAAATTCAATTATTATACACCATATCTGCTGGGGTACCTGATACCCTGACGGATATTATTTCATTAAAACTTGACGAAATTGACCTCTATACAAAGATCGACAGAATCGACGTTCTTGTTACAAAGCTTGAATAATTGGATAAGTTTGTTCGAAAACCTTAATTAAGTTATATCGATTTGAGTAATGGGAAGTCTTCACGGTCAGATCGCGATTATTTCTTTATAGGATCGGCCTCTATCTATTATTGCATTAACTAAATAAATCTTACTTAGTAAGAAACTAATATTATAAACCCGGAATTTTGTGCTTGTGGATAGAGATGGATTTTAATGAAGCTTTACAATAAAACACAGAATTTGAACTATAAGTTTCACACAGGTAAAATCGCGGGCATGGCTTTATCAGTCTTTGATAAATGAACAAAGATTTCGAAAATGTACCACACTATTTTACACTACACTTTTTTCAATTTCGATTGATTGGTGATTACCGAGAAAGACTTTTTAAAGGCGTCGTCTTTTGAAAAGTCGTTTGCATGGTTACCTCAGTCTCACCTATTTCTATCGTTCAACTGCATGTCAGCGTATACTGTTATCGCTGGTAGGTTACATTCGATATTTATCGATAAAAAATGTAAAAATGTTACAGTTCAATAAACAATAATTATTTTGACAAAGTTTTTACTGCGTAAAATATGTTGACCATTGATTAGAGAGGCCTATGATTAAAAAAGCCCTGAACCTTAACACCGGCCCAAAGAGTCGAGGATGACCTTTACTAACTTGGTAGGCGGTTATCAATAACGACCTAAAAACGCAAATAAACGACTTGGCGACCCAGGACAGATATGCCCGGCAAAGAAGGACCAGGAGACCTCAAATGAAATGGGAAAAGGCTATGTAGAAGGAGAGAGAGAGAGAGAGAGATTGTTCAAATTCTGTCAGAAAGAGCCAATTGTATTTCCACCTAATTTGAATATTTGAAGTTCTTAAAACAAACAACATATTATACTTTTTGCTAGATGTACAGTAGATGAGTGCTCCGTACTTAATACCGCCTAACCTAACGAGAAGCTTTGAATATAAAAAATACAAATTAGGTTTTTTAAAATTATTTTTTCAGTTTCGTTCCGGATTTCGCTTTGAAAAGATATATTAGCGACAGCTATTTCGTGTACAATAAAAAGAACAAGGAAAAACTTTTGGGATAATTTATGATTGAGATAAAAATATTGCTCGGAGGCGTATTTTCTCCTTTTTATAACATTATTTCACGAATTACTAACTTATGTTTGTGGCATTGCTTATAATGCTTTTTTATCAATTGTAATAATTAATCTAAATCTATCATCACCACATGCTCTTTTTTATTTTATCTCCCAGGAATTGTTACAACAATACATTTAAATCTTGAAACTAGTGTTAATTTGTATATAGTGGACAACTAAGGAAAACTCATCAAGCGTATTGGTGAATTATGCACTTATATAAAAGAACTAAGAAACATCAACCAAATTATCTATTTAGAGTAATAATTACAAAAATAAATATTTAATTCGTGGCGATTTTTTTACAACACACATTTTACACAAGACAATTACATAAAGATTATGATTTTTCTTTTAATTTAGTTTCGCTAGAAAATAGTCACTATGCGCAGATATAGAATATGTTTCATATGTCGATTATTACTAAAAGGAGCAAAATAATATCAAAGTGAAAATAAATATACTT